AAATATTCTGAATTATAGGCGGTGCGGTGCATCCATGTAAAATTCATTCAGATTGTCAGTTCTGAGTAACGTTCACAAATCGTTGATATGCTTACAAAAAGATGAACGTCAAAAAATGACAGCTATAATTGCCTAAGCTTTGATTCGATGATTTATTAAATGTTAATTTCTAAGAATGCATCAGCTCGTTCCCTTATTTGCACGAGCTGTTTATAGAAAGTAATTAGGAACTAAAATAGGCGTGTTGAATATCAACAATTTCACACACCAAAGTTCATAATTTCATCGTCGATGTAATATCAAAAAGAGGTTGAAGTGAGAAGTTAATCTTGACTTTTCATCAATACCACTTCTAGATTTAGCACATCCAAAAAAGTAACCTTTTAAATGTCAGTGAGCAGTGTCCTTTAAGTGATTTTTCAGCTTGTGAAAGATTAATGAAGTGCTAAATCAGGTGTGCCATTAGCGGTGTATAGATATTTTTGACTGGAAGTGATTTTTGATGTCTTCGATCTCAACTAATTGTGATCACAAAGTGAACTCATAAGGTAGCAGAAACACTCGTAAGGTTCCGTAAAGATTCACGTTGTTGGGAAGAGCACCCTTCTTTATTCCTAGCAAAAAATCCCGTTCACTCCAAAGAAAAACCATTGCAAAAGTTTATTCCCATAAAAAAATCAATCAAATCGAAATGAAATGAATAGGTTTTTTTTTCCAAATCTACAAACAATGCTCATGAAAAGTACGCAGAAAATCTCAAGAAAAAGTATTCCTCAAGAAGCAGTATCAGGTCATGGTGGAAGAAGCCGTTTTCGATCGTGTAATTGTTGAAATATTTTATGTTCTACTAATGATTGTCTCCTGTAATTCGGTCATCACGAAGGGGTACATTTCAGACAGAATGAACTTGATGTGGTGCTACTGAAGGCATACAGCAAATTGGCTGTGATATACCCGCATTTCACAATCTCATTGCTGATCAAGCAGTTGCTTTTGTTAATAGCGTAGAGAAATTAAGTGTTTTTACTCGAAAAAAACTAAGGAAATGTAAGAACGTTCATGTGAAAACATTCAAGAAAATTGTGCACTTATTTCAGATGGCCGATTCGAGTATAATGCGAACAGCGGCTCGTCTGTTCGTATCAGTGCTGTTCAGTGCAAAACGACTCGCGAAGGATTCAAATCTCTTACGTGGTGCATCGCGACGAGCTGAACTCTTCTCATCGACGTTTAAAAAAGAATTCAAAAAGTCATTAACTGACAAAAAATAGCGGAGAAAGATAATTTGTGCTTGATTCGGGTGAATATCAGTGATTTGTTTGTGTAATAAATTGAGTAAATTTGCGAAATGTGACAAGTAAAAGTAGATCGATTCGTGTGATGAGTGTACAAATAAATATTATTCTATGTATGGCAATGTGCATTCTGAACATCTAAAAAGCTGGAAGATATACATGAAAGTTAAGGCCAGAACTGCGGATTTACGCCGTACAACGGATGGTTCGTTGAAAGTGTTTTGGGGGATATTCACAAATATTAATAAAAACTGGTAATAGTATGGCTTGCAATGCTCTTAGAATTTCAAGCAGTGCTGTTTATTACTTAAAGGATAATATCACGAAGCAACTTCGCGAATCTAGATTATTAATTCAAGGAATGAAGGGATTTCCTTTTGAGAGTACAAGTCACTTGATGAGAGGGGAAACACCTGATTTCGAATTATGAGAATAGAATTTTAATAACTGAAAAGAAATTACAGTATTTAAATGTTTACTATTTCCAGTGAATTGTCTCCTAGGGCATTTAATTAACCATTGCTCTCGACTCGAAACATCAATCAATCCCCATATAAAATACAATGAGTTCATGGAAGATTATCGCAATATTCGATTGCATATGAGTCGAGAAAGAAAGAGCGAAATTTACTGGCGAATTCGTGAATACTTCGTATTTCATTTGTTTTCAATGAATCGATTCGAGACATTCCGGTGTTTAATCATTCGAATGAAACTTTTTTAGTGTGCTATAGAACTTCAGTGTTATTCATTTTATTCACATTTCATTTGTATTATTAATAATATCATAAATGTCGTATGGTCTGCGGCAGTTGATTTCGAATTCGAATAAATTATTTGTCCACAATGCAAATCAGACATTATTTCCTGTTATCGAAGGTTATCATTATTTATTCATTGCATTCGTCTATTCAATCATTTATTAGTTTTACTTCTTTGAAGATAACAGTCTATTTTGAGATCATCATCAGTTCAATTCAAATTGTTAAAATGATCGTCGTAAAAATAACGATAATACGAATATTCTTGACAATAATAATGGTGATTGATCATTCTGATGATAAGAATTTTAAAAAATGTTAAGACGAATGATGAGAATGGATAAAGTAATGAAATTTGATGATGTAGGCGAAATTTCAATCATGACAATATCGGTGGTAACATTCAAGCTAACCAGCAATAATGAAACCCAGTAATATGAAGTGTTGAATGTGTAGACAATTCGGTCTGGTGTAGATCAATCGCATGGTATCACTGATTAGTTAGGAGAATATCTCTTAGGCATGTTCCTTTTCGGTGCAGTTTGGGATGTTCGAATGTCTTCTGAGTGATTACCGTTGAAAGTTTTAGGTTGGCTTATTGTTAGACACATTACGGTTCATATTACAAAGGACCGAAAATGCGGTCCGTACGGGGTTCGACACTTCTTGTGGATTTACATTAGTATGTTGGAATATTTGTTAAGGAATCAACTACTTGCACTGTAAAAATGGTCGTTCAATCGCGGAAACGTTCACAAATACCTAGAAGTTTATTCACAACGAGAAATATTC